AGAGAGAGAGAGAGAGAGAGAGAGAGAGAGAGAGAGAGAGAGAGAGAAGGCGAGAACATCAGCCCACTGCTAGTGATGGTTGAGTTCATTGTTTACTTTCAAACACTTGTCAGATACACTGTCTTCTCTGTCCCATACTTTATCTGCCTTCCAAAATGGAAGATGCCCTATATTTCTTTCTCCCACTCACCTAGGAGCTATGATATGGATGTCTCTTTCCTCATGTTCTGCCAGGTCCTGCACTGAAACTGAAAAATCCCCAGGCATCTCCACCGGCTTCCCTTGAGGAACACTTAAGCAACCACTCGGGGCTATGAAATGGCAAACTGCTGAACAGAAGGAAGTCATCAGTCCACTGTTGAAACAACAAGCACTCCCGGGTTTGCTTTGTATATACTTTTCTCAAGAAGGACTTCCTGAAACTGAGCTCAAGAGAGGAAGATTGAGTCCTGGTGACACCCCTGGGTCATATGGTCAAGAACTGGAGCAAGAACTGAGTCTTGGGGCTGTAGGCATGAGGCAGCCGGTTTACATGTGATTGGGTTGTGATTCCCACCAGCGAGTAAGTCATCAGGGAGCAACACACCACACACAACTCACTGATACAAATTTTGCTGATGCTTGTGGGGTGGAAAGCAGGGGCTGGACAGACTCAGGGGGGAAAGACACAGAAGGAAAGAAAGACAAGTTCTGTTAGCAGCATCATGTCTACATGGAGTCACCACATTAAGAAGTGTTGAGGAACTGGAGGCCAATTAATGGGAAAGGGCTTTTGGGAGGCAGCTGGTTGGCCACTGTGGAATACAGACCAGACATCCCTGATCGGATGTCCTCTAGATGTTATAGCCTACAACTCCCAACATTATTGACCATCATCCACACTGGTTGGAGCTGATGGGAAGCTGAAGTCCAAAACATTTCACAGACTTTAGGCTCAACTAGACAGAATTTTGGTCTCATCCAGAAGAGACTGCCCATGCTCACATCACCTCAAAATGCTACGGTGAGTTGCTGGCCATCAAAGATTGAGTCACCATGCAGCGACATGTTAACTGGGCAGGTATCAGCTCTTCCCTGTTAAGACGGCACGTCCCAGCCTGGGGTGCCTTGTGACTCCAAATATGTTGGACCGTAGCTGCTCTCATGCCCAGTCCAGCGGGACTGTGCCCTCCAGCCACGTTGGACCATGGCCCTCATTATCTCCAGGCAACATGAGAGCCAGTGTGGCGCAGTGGTTAAGAGCAGGGGACTGGGACTCAGAGGATCCGGGTTCGAGTCCCCGCTTGTCCATGGAGCCAACTGGGTGACTTTGGGCCAATCACAGCCTCTCAGTGCAACCCACCTCACAGGGTGGTTGTTGTGGGGATAAGATGGAGGAGGAGATGTAAGCTGCCTTGAGCCCTTTGTAGGAAAAAGGCAGGATCTAAATCGAAATAAAAATAAACATGGCCCATTATTCCTGCCACACACAACACAGCCATTCACTGGCTGGAGGAACTGCAGTCCATGGTCTCTGCAGGGCACCAGGCTGAGGAAGACAAAGGAATTTTGCATGCTGGTCCTCTGGATTTGTTTTTCAAACAATGCCATGATGTCCCAGGCAGAAAAACAGCTCGCTGGTGACTTCACCCACTACTAGAAGGACCCAGAATGTAACTTCCGGATCTGCAATATTTGACCAGATAACAGCACCTGTGAGGTAAAATTTTTTTTCTCTTTGTTTTCAGTGTAAATACCTGAAGCTAAAATGGTTTCACTCTTTGTTGCATGGCTGGTTTTTCAGCCACAGACCTGAAAAGAAGGAGGGTGAGAGGGTGCTGATGGGACCATTCTTACACATTGCTGGCCAGGTCAAAATGTCCTAGAACAAAACCCAGAATTGTCTGCAGCACAAGCCTTTTCCTTGGCAGACACGTCGGAGTGCAAAAGCATTCCATGAAAGGAAGAAGGTCTTGGGGCCCTGCCTTACAGCTGTAAACACGACTGTCACCGGGCTGAGAAAGCGCAGAGGGGATGAAACATTCCTCTCCTACCGCACTTGGGTGAGAGGAAGCAGAATCAGCCCACCAGTGGCCAGCAGGAATAGGTCCTCTCTGTGTGCACATGCCCACTTGTACGTCCAGGGGATTCTTTCATACCACATGCCATCCAGAAGCCACTCCCTCTGGAAAGGGCCCTCTCTGGGGTGAAGCCAATATCACTCAGATAGTTCCACAGAAAATAATGTAGCTGGTCCCACTTGACTTGGCAGGTTAGGTGTTCAACAGAGCACTGTTTTGGTTTCTTGAGTCTTCAAGGAAAGAGCCTTTGAAGCTTTACTCATACTAGCCATGAATCTGAGCATCAGAGGCTTGGGTGAGTATCCAAATAAGTGTGGGTCAAGTTGCGGTCTTTGGTGGCATGGGAATGGGGGTGGGGAGGAAGTGCAGAGCAACTGGGAGTCCTCCCCATAAGCAATAGTTGGAGAAAGGGGGTGAAGCCAGAGGAAGAGAGTGGGGCTCTCTGAGGGCCAGATTTGGAGAAGCTCCTGCAAGGTTCAAAGCATCAGCAATGTGAGAGCCTGGCACTTGGATATGGCATTTGAGAGGAAGAACAGGTTGCAAAGGAAGCACATGGTGTCCCCCTTCCACAACAAGAAAACCAAATTACGGACTCTTCTGTCAGTCACCCTCCTGGAACGGTATGACCTTATATTCTGCTTCTGTGAGAGCCTACAGTAAGGCTTCAAGATCGGCAAGATTGTCTAAGGTTTGTAAATGGAATGAACCAAGCTGACTAGGGAAGTGAAGAAACTTCCTTCCTGGGTGGCTTTCAATATGGGACATGGGCACCCTCCGGGCAAGCTTCAGATGCAGGGTGTTGGGACAGAGGATGCGGGCAAAGCATCTCCAGGTGGAAAGGAGTGACCACTGGCACCATCAAAATGAGATCAGGCTTTACTGAAATCACCATTTTTAATCCGTACCAAGATGTTTTTGCTGCATGGTCTGAACAAATTTGACCAACATTAGTCTGGCTCTTTTGGAACTGAAAGCTACTTCCCTTTTTTTCTTGCTGCTTGTTTGCCTCTGGCCATGCCTTGAATCTGCATTCCTTTGAGCAAGTTTGGACACCCTGTGGCTGCGGATGTGGCAGTGTTCTCAAGCTGCCCTCCTCTTTCATCACCTTGTCCCTAGACATGTTCAGGCCTCACTCAAGGACTGAGGAGCAGAAACAACATCTGCAAAGCACATCCAGTACGAACTAAGGTTTATTACACATACAGCAATGCATGCAATGCAGAAGCCGAGCTGTTATTCAGTTCTGAAAACGGGGCTTAAAACAGCCTTCTCCAGCCTGGGACTTCCCCAGGTGTTTGGAGCATTAATTCCCACCAGTTTCAGAAATCTGCAGCCCCAGCCTGTTTCAAGGGTTCCTGTCTTGTCTGGTGCTAAGATCTGCTGAACGAGGAAGCAATCATCAGCTCCTTTCTCTTTTCAGGAAAATGGTTTTATAAATTACCATTTTGTTATGAACTTACCTGCTTTATAGTTGCTTTTTTAATTATTTGTAAGCCATTTGGTTTTACTTTAATACATGTAAAGATATAAAATAAATAATAAACTTGGTCTAGAGAAAAATTCTCCCCACCTCTACTCCTCCCCACAAAAGGAAAGGAAAGAAAGAAAGAAAGATGAATAAGAAAGACAAAAGGAAAGGAAGGGGAGGGGAGACCTGTAAGAAAACTTAGAGCCTTTAAGAAAACAAAAGCTACATTATTTTTTAAAAAAATCCTACACATTTGGACAGAAAAATGCCCTAAAACTGCCAACCAGCATAAGAAATGCTGCCTAAATACACCCAAGACTGTATCCTTAACTTGATGTAAATGAGTTTTCTCTTTCATGCAGGTAGCGCAAAACTGCTGTGTGAAAGCAAACATGAATGTTGACTTGGTTCTTTGGCAGAGCAAGTAATACTTGCTCTCTGAGGAAATACACTGGCATGACCTCACATGAAAGAAACCTTGCGATCCTTTGCTACCAGGAATTGATAATGATTTAATCTTTGTTTACCTTGGCTTTACCCAACCTGGTTACCTGAAGGAGCGCTTGCATCCATATACGCCCAGCCACCCCTTGAGATCGGCGGGGGAGGCCCTTCTCCGGGAACCCTCCATGAAAGAAATTAGGAGGATGGGTACTCGGAGGAGGGCTTTCTCTGCAGTGGCACCTAAGTTATGGAACGCGCT